TTCTGAGCCATATGCTAGTTGCTTCATGTAGTACAATGATTTCAGCATGGTTTGAAGATATAGCAACTAGTGTTTGTTTCTGAGTACGCCAAGAAAATGCAGTTCCACCAATAGTGAATACGTAGCCAGTTTGAGATCTCGCCTTATGTGGGTCTGATAAATATCCTGCATCTGCAAAACCAATCATTTCATGTTTTTTATCACTTGAGTAGAATAATCCCAGATCGATTGTTTCTTGGAGATAACAGAATATATGCTTGATTCCATTCCAGTGTCTCCTCGTAGATGACGAGTTATATCTTGCTAATAAGTTTGTAGCAAAAGATATATCTGGTCTAGTGCAATTAGAAAGATACATCAGAGATCCTATTGCACTCATATATGGTACCTCAGGATCAAGTATTTCTTAATTTTCTTCACAAAGTCGAAATGAATCCTTTTCAACATCCAATGTTCGATTAACCATCAGAGTACTAAGAGGATTATCTTTGTCCATATTAAATTGTTTTAGTACTCTTTTAGTACAGTTAGATTGATGGAAAAGTATCCCATTTTGTACTCTCTCTATCTGTAAGCCGAGGCAATATTTAGTTTTTCCGAGATCTTTTATTTTAAATTTGCCTTTCAGAAAAGTGAATGCTTCTCGAATTTCATTTGTTGTTTCAATAATATTAAGATCATCAACATAGACAGCAATGATCACAACTCCATCATGTGATTTCTTTATAAAGGCACACAGACATATTTGATCATTCAAGTATCCCCTTTTTAGTAATTGTTCACTCAAACAATTATACCACATGCGCCCGGATTGTTTCAAGTCATATAATGATCTTTGTAACTTTAAAGCACATAACTCTTTAGATTTAGAGTTCAGTGCTTCGGGCATTCTGATTCTTTCTGGGATTGTCATATATTTGTCGGTGTCTAATGATTCATACAAGTAAGCAGTTACAACATCCATGAGAAGCATCTCAAGGTTTTCATGGATAGCTAAACTCATCAAGTATCTGAAAGTAATTGCATCCATAACAGGGGAATATGTCACATCATAATCGATCCCAGGCCTTTGAGAGAATCCATGTGCAACAAGGGGAGCTATATATCTCGTGATCTCATTTTTCTCATTTCTTTTTCTGATAAAAACCCATTTGTATCCAATAGGTTTTATGTCTTTTGGTATAATAGAAATAGGCCCAAAAACTTTTCGTTTATTGAGTGAATCTAACTCGGCTTGGATGACGTCTTTCCATTTATCTCAATCATGTCTTTTCAGACATTCAATTACAGATTTTAGTTCAGGATCCTCAACTTTATTATCAATTCCTTTCGATACCATATATGCAAATGTATCATCAATATTTATGATCTCATCACGCTTCCAAAACTTCCCATTATTCACGTAATTGATGGAAATTTCAATATTTTTATTTTGTCCCTAAATTTTTTCATCATCTTGATTCTTTTTCAAATTCGGGTCATGAATTTCTCTTTTCTTTTGAGGATTCTTATCTTTAGACCCAATTGGTTTTCCTCGTTTCAAGCGTGTCTTTGACTCATTTGGCATGTCTTCATTTGCCATTTCTTTAGGAATCTCAATTCGAGCAGGGGTATATACGGTTGCCATATGTGATTCAGTCACCCTTTTTAAATCAGAAATGCATCTGGCAATTGATTTGCAATATTCTGCAGATGTATGATCTTTTGAACTTCTTGCTCTCTTTGTTTGGTGGGAGTTTCAAGATATGATATTGATGATGTACTCCATTCAATATTTCTCTCAATTGACTTTTCATTCCCACCTAAGGGGGGAAGCAATTTTTCATTAAAATGACAATCATCAAACCGGGCTGTAAAAACATCACATGTTTCTGACTCAAGGTATTTGATTATTGATGAAGATTCATATCTAACATATATTTCCAACCTTCTTTGAGGCCCCATTTTTGTATGTTAGGGCAGAGCAATTGGTACATACACTGCACAACCAAAAACTCTTATATGTGCAATATTTGATTCTAGACCATATGCCAACTGTAATGGCGAGTATGTATGGTATGCACTTGGTCTTATTTGAATTAGATCATCTGCATGCAGAATAGCATGTCCCCATACTGAAGTGGGGAGTTTTGTCCTCATTATCAATGGTATAGCTATAAGCTGCAGTCGTTTAATTAATGATTCTGCTAGACCATTTTGAGTGTGAACATGTGTCACAGGATGTTCAACATCAATTCCCACTGCCATGCAATAATCATTAAATGCTTGAGATCTAAACTCAGCAGCATTGTCAAGTCTGACTCTATTGATAATATAATCTGGGAATTGAGCCCTTAATTTAATAAGTTGGGCGAGTAGTTTAGCAAATGCCACATTTCGTGTGGATAACAAACTCACGTGAGACCATCTACTAGAGACATCAATCAACACCACAAAATATCTGAATGAACCACAAGGTGGATGAATAGGTCCACATGTATTACCATGAATCCTTTCCAAAAATAATGGTGATTCATGTCCGACTTTAGTATGTGATGGTCTCACTATCAATTTCCCTTGAGAACATGAGGCACATGTCAATTCATGTGTTTGCAATATTCACTGATTTTTTAATAGATGGCCACTAGAATTTTCAATAATTCTTCGCATAATTATCGAGCCAAGGTGACCAAGTCGATCATGTCAAAGTTAAAACATTTCATTCGACTTTGAATTTGTTGCAGCATAAGCCTCGATTATATTAATACGGGTGTAATATAAATCCGAGGATAAAGCGGGTAACCTCTCCAAAACACATTTATTTCCTGCAATATTTGAGCTAATGCAAAGATATTCAACTCTCCCTATATTTATTGTTTCAACGTGGTATCCGTTCATTCGGATATCTTTAAAACTCAACAAATTTCTTGTTGATTTTGGGGAGAATAACGCATCATTCAATGTAAATTTTGCACCTTCCATCATAAAAAATATAGCCCTGTCAGACCCCACAATTATCTTTGCACTCCCAGATATTGTGTTCACTTTTGCTTTATTTATTTTTAAATGAACAAAATATATTATGTCTTTAAGTATAATGTGAGTAGTGACACAATCTGCAAGACAAATATCTCCATCTTGGATGCGAGACCAATCCACGATCTTTCTGACCGGGTAGAGCGCTCGTGCTGATAACGTGTTATAAATACTGGAAAAATAAAGAACACAAATATAGAAACCGCAGATAAATTTTATTGAATTTTCTCTCCTTTATTTCTTTCTCTTATTTCTGTGTGTATATGCTCAATGAATTGACCAATATTTATAGGCAAAACTTTTGCCACATTTCTCGACATTTTTACATAATGGAACTACTCATAATTCAATTTGTACAAAGGACTATTGTTAGTCCATTATTCACAACAAGTTAACGCCTTTTGAAGTGAAATCTATTGAAATTTAATTAATTATTTTGCTAGCAATTATATAGATAGAGATTATGTATGCCTTTTGAAGTGTTTTTCTTCTCCAAATCACACACGTTTTCAATAAGAGGGCGGGAGTGAAAAATCTTATTTATAAAACCTTCTCTCTTCTCTTTTTCGGATCTCTCTCGCCATTCACTTCTCCAGGTCTCTGCAACTCAAAAGGTAAAAACTCCTATTTCTTCTTCTTCCTCCCCATCTCATCTTCTTATACGTCCCTAACATTTTCCCACATCGCTTTGAAGATTGTTTCACAAAATGCACAATGTTCGTTTTTCGATCTGCGACATTTCGATCTGATTTTTGATTTATTCTCCGTAGATTGGCGTAGCTCTTTTAAGGAAGTTTTTTTTTTTTTTTATTGATTTAGCGTAGAGAGGAAAAGGAAGAAGAAAAGGAAATGGGTTACATTGGAGCACATGGAGTCGCGGCCTTACATAAGCACAAGTACAGTGGAGTGGATCACTCGTTGGTGGCCAAATATGTGTTGCAGCCTTTCTGGACTCGATGTGTTGGTTTTTTCCCTCTTTGGATGCCGTAAGTGTAATCTTTTAAATTTCCTCCCTCTTATCTATCTTTTGTTCTTGACGGTATTTGGATGCTGTTCTTCATATTATGATGGATGCTACTGATCTTGGAATATCACTTTTGAGTCGTCCCAATTTGATAGGGTAAATGAGTCTAGCTTGTAAGCCTAGTAGGCTACTCCTCCCACCACCCATTGGTTTTGGGATGGAACCTCACTAAGTTGCAACTAGGCTCACCCTCTTATGGCGCGCTTCACTGTGTGGGACCGCATCCTTGATGCCCCGATTATAAAAAATTTGTCAACTGAGGCATTGACTATCATGCTATTGTTTGTTTCTTTTGAGCTGTGACTCTGTTTGCTGAACTTGTAATTTTGGGTTGGACTTTGGGGGTTTTCATGTTAGACAAATTTTGAGTTTATATGGACGCTCACAAGTCACAAGGTGTAAAGAAGGGTAGAATTTATGATTTGAAAGTCCAAGTTCAAAACTCCGATCAGAGGGTTTATTCCATTTTGGATGAACAATCGACATATCCGAACTTTTGAGAAGAAATAGTTACTTCAGTTGCAAGGTTGTTTGCAAAGGCAATAGACAATATGGAAATAGTAGGGCCGTTGATATATTATTCAGACATTATAAAGTTTAGGGATTTAACATTTGGGTTTGGCAGTGTATTAAAGCAAAAAGGAGCGTTCCCTGGCTCAAGCATGGATTGTGAAATATTATCATATTTTGATATGGTGTATCCTTCGATCATCTCATTATGCGGATTTCATACCATATTTGTGTTTGTTTTCACCGGCTTCATTTAATTTGTACTGATTCTCTTTCTGTTTCCTTGTGTGCATGGACTGGGGCGTTTCAGACCAAACTTGGTAATCTTTTGTTGAATACTAGTTTCAATGACTTTTGAATAATTGTTGTAATTGTCAATCATCTTTTTCAGTTTAGGGGCTCATAAATTTCACTGTATTTATGTTCTTTCCAGATTACACTTACAGGAGCAATGTTTTTGGTTACATCTGCATTACTTGGATATGTGAGTTCTCTCTCCCCCTCCCCCTCCCTCCTCCCCTCCCTCTGGCTTGTCTTTTGTATGCTCGTGCATGTAATAATACTATTTACAAACACACTTTTCTTCTATCTCTTTGTTTCCCTTGATAAAGTTAAATTATGTCTTCAAATGCTGCAGGATTGCTCTGTTGTACTATTGGGGCCTTTACTTGGACTATTTTTCTTTTTTCCTTTTGCCAATAAAAGATTGTCTCTTTAGTTGCATGATCATCAAAATCCTAGCATGCTTGGATATAAAAAGTTTTGGATTTTTGGTTTGGGTTGGTTAAATTTGAAAAAGTTGGTATGATTAGTTGTTAGTGGGTATATTAAAATAATCATCAACATCAACATCAACATACCCAGTATATTCCCAACAGGTTGGGGTCTGGGGGGTCAGACCTTACCCTTGTAATTATACAAGGAGGTTGTTTCCATAGCGACCCAAGGTGCGTTGTGTCGTTTGATATACTTTTTTCTAGAAACTTCACTAATAGAAGAAGCACTAGAATTTAATTGAGGCATTTTGATCTAGTCCATTATTAACACTATGCCAGGAGAATTGTCAACAATGACTCTTCCAGCTCCATATGCAATGGACATGGGTATATTAAAATAATATTAAAATAAAATGATTAAAATTAAATTGATGTAAAAGTAGGAAGGAGAAGATGTGATGTGATGGTTAGTTAAAATTATGCGAGTGGATGAATAGTGAATTAAGGTTAATGTTGTGTGTAAGAATGATTGATTGATATTATTTAATTATATTGATAATATTGATGATAGTGGGGTTGAGATAAAGTTGAGTAAAAAAAGTGGTTGAGTTAAAAATGATTGGATCTTCAGTTCCTCTACTAACTTTACTTTATGACAAATAATTTAAAAAATCAAGATAATATGAACTCTAAACTCTGTGAATTGCTTCTGTAGTGTCTAGTGACTTAGTAAATTTTGTTTATTAATGAGTTGTTAAGTTTGAAATGTAAATTTTGATAAGGTCCTATGTTTCAGTTGTCACTTTGTGTCGCAGTCTATTGTAATTGTGCTGTTGGTTTCATATTTGCATTTATTGCTGCTTGGCTTTGCAGTGGGTGGGTTCTGATGTCTTTAGCTGTAGTATAATTGGATAGAGTGCGAACACAAACTTAGTTTGAAGATGTAGTTTGTAAACAGAAGTTATATATTACATGGATTTTGATTTCTAGGACGTGTCAGTTTAGTTTATAAGATCATGAAACTTAATATCCGGTTCAGTTGGAGCTAGAGCAGGCTTGTATATATCCTGTAACTTCCTGCGAGAAGGTGATCATTGTTGTATTATTGAGCTGACTACTCTCATATTTGTGTGCCCAGGTTCTCTTCAATCTTAGTTGATAGTATGAACAATGATACAGTGATTTATCACTTATAGTGAAAGTGATTCTTAATGCCTTTTGTTATTGTATCATATTACTTTTGAGAAGTTTTGGTACTGCCAACGTGTTGATTTAGAAATCTGTGATTTGAAGGCTATTGATAAATCATTCTCTTACTACATACCCAATTCATTAGTATATGTGATTATGTGCTGCAGATATATTCACCTCATCTGGATTCTCCTCCACCTAGATGGGTTCATGTTGCTCATGGTTTATTGCTTTTCTTATATCAGGTAACCTTGGGTTCTGTATGTTCTCTGTTTATTCGGTTCCCAGTGTTCTAATTCTAATGTCTTCGGTCTGGAACTAATACAATGAGATAGGGTTGAACTTATTTTCTTCCTTTGCTCAGATTTATATTTTACACCTTATTGTCCTTGAACAGGGGGGTGGTTGAAGTTGGAAGTATGACATCGATTTATGTATCACTTCTAAAAGGATTGTTTGGTTTGTCTGATAAATAGATATTGGAAATTTTGTTTGATTGGTCCGTGTCTTGGGGAATATATTGCGGAATGTGAATGCAGTTTGTAACATACTGATTTGTATACTTCTAAATGTTGTATGTTAAAATCTTTATATTTCCTTTCTCTATAATTCCAGATATATGCTTGATCAAGAGATTCTGATTGTATTTTTTCTTCTTATCTGAACACTAGACTTTTGATGCTGTTGATGGAAAGCAAGCAAGAAGAACAAATTCGTCGAGTCCACTGGGAGAACTTTTCGACCATGGTGATTTCTCCCTTTTAATCAATTTTCATCCTCTGGCTTTTGTTATTGTTTTTCATTAAGTTTATTTACTTACCATTGATGATAATTATAACGGTTTTCTCTGCCTCAACAAAATTACAGGATGTGATGCTCTTGCATGTGCGGTACGTGTTACAACTTTGTATTGCGTGCTAGTTATTATATTACTGATGCATCTGATACTGACTTCACTGCAATTATTTTTTGTTCTTTTCCAGTTCGAAGCCATGGCTTATGGAAGCACTGCAATGTGTGGTGGAAGTGCTTTCTGGTTCTGGTTTATATCAGCGGTCCCTTTCTACTTTGCTACATGGGAACAGTGAGTTTATTTTTGACTGATTCATGACACTAGTTATTGCATGGTCTACAGTATTCACATAGTACAGATTATAAGATTTTTTTCCACGTTTAACTTATGACTTGCATATTCTGTATGGGAAATACCAATGATGGTAAGTTATCATTTCTCTCCAGTTACAATTTTTTTGTAGCTTACCCTGGTTGAATGCAGTCTTTGTGAGAAAGCCTATTATTATTTTGCCATAGATGCTTCCTATATGTGTTGAACATCACCTCGGCTCATGAACATCTTCTTTAATATTATTAATCATATCTTTGTGGATATTCTGTATTTAATCCTTTTTCTTTGCATGCATCCTTTCATAGATGTTTTCTGCAAATAGTTGGTTCTGTGATTCCTGTTAAGCTACACTCACATTGCTTGCGTTCGGTAATTTATTCTTTTCTTTTTGGTTTTTGTGCAGCTATTTCACCCATACCCTCATTCTTCCAGCTATAAATGGACCTACGGAAGGTCTTATGTTGATATATATGATTCATTTTTTCACGGCTATTGTTGGTACGGTTTCTATCACTTGATCTCCCTATCTTTGCTTATGGCTCTATATTATGTGTGGATGTGAATATAAAGCTGCTGCATTGGATCTGAATGGTTGTAAGGTGCTGAGTGGTGGGTCCAGGCGTTTGGAAAATCCATCCCTTTCTTGAGTTGGCTTCCATTTATAAGTCGTAAGTCTCGCCAATAGTTTGTGGTTTACTGATGTGCAAGTATGCAATATAATTGCATGCAAACATCATTATAATGATGTCTCTTACTTCTCTAAGTTTTTTCTTCCTGCTTTTATCCCTTTGTAGATTAATAATTACTTGTGTGATCATACCTTTTGTTTTCTTTCTCTATTTTCTTTTTTCTTCTTGAACTTATATATTTTCCTATGTCTTACTTTTCTTATGTTTTTGTTTGGTTTCTGATCATCTCTCTTTTTGCCTTTTCTCTACTTGTGTTCTTCCTGAACAGAAATCACAATGTATAAGGCTGCATTGTATTTAATGATAATTTTTGCAGTTATCCCCACAATCTCGTTCAAGTAAGTTCAGTTTTTTTTTCATCTCCAGAGGAAACTATTTATCCAATTTCGACATACTCTGCACATTCATTTTGTTAATGGAACTTATCAAGCATTTTTTCAGTGAATAATCTGACCACGGTTTGGACGGAGATCATATCTTTTTGTAGAACCAAGGAGTTTTCATATAAATGAACTTGACAATTCAAATGAGCATCGTTCTTAATAGTTAGTCAAAATTTTCACATTAGTTTTTCCCAACCTCTAGATTACTTCTGCTTCTACACTTTTAGCATATCAGAAGCTTGAATGTGCTTTAATTTTACATTATTTTGTTGCAGTGTATACAATGTTTATAAGGTTATTAAGGCAAGAAAAGGAAGCATGGTGCTGGCTTTGGCGATGGTATGCAAGCTTGACAAAGATGATATTAATGGCTGTATTGCATTTTCTGTGTTTTGTGTTAATGTCATGTCCTCTTTTTCTTGACAGCTCTATCCTTTCGCTATGCTACTGGGTGGTGTTCTGTTGTGGTACTCCTAAATTTTCCATGACTTCTTCTTTTTCTGCCCTACCCTTCGATTATTGTTTATGATCTATATCATTGAGTGTGACTTTGCAGGGAATACTTGTCTACTTCTGGCTTAATGAATAACTACCCTCACTTGGTCATACTCAGTATAGGGCTTGCATTTGGGTTTCTTGTGGTGAGATTTTCTTATTTTTATTTTTTTTTCTAGTGGATGTATTTCAATGCAAAAATGTCACATGGTTGCATTTGTAGGTGTATTTTTTAAAAAATTCTCTCATTTAGTAAAGCATAACGTGAAACACTAATCTCTAAAATTATCAGCTACATGTTTGAATTATTCTTTCTTGTTAAATCTCATTATTATATTATTGTGGATGTGAGTGATTGATGTGTTTGAGGCAAGATTGGTGATTAGTAATGTTTGTTTTTTTCAGGGTAGGATGATTCTTGCTCATTTATGTGACGAACCCAAGGGTTTGAAAACAAACATGTGCATGGTAAGTCCATATTATATATCACGACTTACCGCACCATAACAGAAGTTCTTGATCCACTGGGAGTATTTGCTAATACATAAAGAAAAAGTGATTGCTAGCTTTTGGATGAGAAAATAGTCCCTTAGTGATCATAAATGTCAACTTCTGCTATGTATCGTTATATCAGAAGTGGGTGGGTGAATTGGTGCTGTAGATTTATAAATTCAACTTGCAGTTTGATTTTTACCACCAAACGAGTACTTGTACAACTTAATTATCTTAAACTCTTTTGCTTAACTAATTCAACTTTTAGATCAGACTTTGCACATACTTCAACATTGGAAGGCATATTTATTTCTATCTACTATCGGTATGGCCAGAGCATTATTTCTGTAGGAGCCTGTTAACATTATCTTTCTTTGTATGTGTTTCTTTTTTCACCCTTGCAGTCATTATTTTATCTGCCTTTCGCAATTGCAAATGCACTCACTGCTAGGCTTAATGACGGGTGCGTAATGACTTAAGGCTCGGTTTGATGAATATATGTTAATGAAATGCTAAGTATCCTATTTTATTTCATGCTTGTGTGACCTTTTTATTCTATTGCAGGGCTCCTTTAGTTGATGAGTTCTGGGTTCTTCTTGGTTTCTTTACATACACAGGTACTTGTTCTTTTTCGAGTTCTGCAGTGTGTTGTATTCAAACAATTATCTTCATATCCATTTTTATTATTTTTTATCTCATTAATGATTCGTGGAATTTGAAGTTTTGCTTCTCTCCATGCAGTCGTACTTTATCTGCATTTTGCTACATCAGTCATTCACGAAATAACGTCAGCACTGGGAATATACTGCTTCAGGTAAAAAATACCTTTCATTTTCGAATCATTCTGTTATTAAGAGTTGATAAAATCAGGTATACTATGTTGCTGTACTGTATATCTAATTTGTATGCTTACCATTTAATGCAGGATAACTAGGAAAGAAGCGTGAGCATGATGACGATTACTACTATTTATTGGCTGCACTTGGAGGTTAGCTTTCCAAAACCAATCGATCAACGTTTTTTGTCATGTTTTCCATTCCTTTGTGGAGAGAACTGCGCATTTGGTAGATCCAAACACAATTGTGATGGTGACAAATTTTGGTCCTGTAAGTCCCAATGTTTAGTCTCAATATGAAATTTGAACTAAAAATGCCTCGCGCCTTTGGTCCCAAAAGTGCCAAAAGAGAAACCAAGAACTTTATGGTGGGGGCAAAAGTGCAAAGGAGAAATTTGAGGGACCAAGAAATGATAAAGAAAAAAAAGACCTCGTGTTGTCACAAATGAAAATGGGACCAAAATGCAATATGTTGAGTTTCTTTTGCTTTGAACTCTTTCAGTAGCAACGTATGTACGTGTACTTGTAGGGACCATCAACTTTGCTAACACGGAACATCTGCTGAATTTCGGCCGAACATTCCAATGCACAGCACAGAGTTAGTATCTGAGCTAGTTTTGATTTCCATTAAATGTTGTAATTTTTTTAGCCAACATTTGGGCAATTCTTTGCTACCTCTGTGTGAATGCCATAGTCCATTCTTCTGCATTCTGGTGTCAAATACTTATTCAGTTGATGATGTTTTAGCTTTTCTTACTCATTGGTGGACATCTAGAGTGA